TTTTTTTTTTTTTAAATTTTGTTTTGTTTTGCTTGTTTGTTAGTTTGTTTTTGGTTTTAGACCTTCTCCTTTCTTTGCTGCCTATTGCTCTAACATAATAAATATGTGTTAACTTCACCTGCAGTTCTCACTCCCTAGTTTGGATGGCCCCATTCTGCTTTTGGGTCTGGAAGCTTATCCAGTTTAGAATACAGAGAACTTTACAGATAACTGCCTTAATTTGGTGAACAATCTCACTTTTGAAAGGCCATGAATTTAGCCTTGAGAAAAAATGAACAAGGCAGCAGACAGTTTTCCCTTTATGTGAAGGATGCCATTTGTTCCTTCTCCCTGGAATTCATCACTGGAATTGGGATGACATGGTATTCTACAAGAGAAATAAACATGTTTTATTACCCAAAAACTCTCCTGACCAGCTGGCCCAATCTTGTGATGATCAGGAATGTACCTATTACATGAAACAACAGGTGAGGCTTTGGAAGGAAGGGAACTGGGGGTGTTTTCTTGTCAGAAAAGTTTGTCCTTTTGAAGGTTAGCAAAATTCCTAAGTATCTGCTGTTAGTAGGTTGTCTTCCTACACTGCACCCTGAATAACTAACTGACAGGAAACTCTCCCTTCCTAAACCTTGTAGTTAAACCTTCTGTCTTTATTGTTTCTTGGGGTGAAGAGAGAAAAGGAGAATGAAAATCTAGCCCACACCCACAGATATATTGCATATAGGATACTGGCTAGTACCTTCTAAATTTTAACACTTCTGATGTTCCTGAAACTTTGACAGAATTAGTATTTTGCCTAATGCAATCAGTTACTAGAATGTCTAAAATCAAGTTTGCCTCAAATAACTGATCTATTTTTAGAAACTACCTCTATTACAATGTTGGTCCTTTCATAAGCATTTCTTATCCTTGACTGCCTCCTGGACTTGAAAACAATCTTGGACATTCATGTCAAACCTTTTGTTGCACATCTGGATGTAGCAGATTCCCCTTTCTTTTTCTCAGAAATACTATTTTTCCTTTCAGCACGTGTCCTCATTGAAGAAGCTATACTTGGTATTTCTGACCCAGAAACTGGTCTTTTTTTTTCCCTGACTTTTGACTGAAGACCTTTTTAATGTGTGTTTTGTTTCTAAGAGGTCAGTTTTCTATGATTGTCTCCAATAGAATACTACTATAAATGAATATGCAGAGAATCATAGAAGAATCTAACCAGATATTAATATATGCTGTTCTCTGATGTCCCATGTTTTTATTCATTTCAGACTAATTCTACATAGCTGACGAAGTATTGTCTGTGGATCTCACAAAACTGATGTGACCACTGCTTGGTACAGGCTTACTGAACAAAGCAATATAGATGGAGCCTCCATTTTTTCATTGTGCCAGTGGGCACTACTATGTGCCAATGGGCATGAAGATTTTGTGTCATTAATACCTTTTCATTTAGGTATTATTCTCAGACTTAGATTTATTTATTTCAATGATTGGTTTGGTCTGTGAATGTATACAGACTTTATGAAGGAATGAAGAATATTACCCAGCCTGTGCTCAACTGTTCACCAATAATCAATATGCTCACACCTGTGTGTCAATCAAGAAGTTAATAAAATAACCCTGAAAGTGTGGTCAGATGCTTTCCCAACAGGAAACTTCTGTTTCTATCTTCAGGTTTTTAAGGCAACTCCAAGAGCCTGTCCAGGTCGTGTAATGACCTGGTTCATAAGTGCTAGAAAAAACACAGGAAAAAGACTTAAAATCAATCTCCAGATGTGGAAAACTAAATGTGTGGAAATGTACACTGGAGAAGTTTTTGGTTGCTCTTTATTTTCATCCCAAACACATTGTGGTATCTGCTTTTATAGAGACAGATAATGCTAATTTAGTAAAACAAGTAAAATCATAAAGCAAAAGTAAAAATCCTGTGAGATGGTTTTGGAGTTTTGTGTTGTTTTATTTTTTTATGAGACAGCAAACGTTTAACTCTTACCAACAAATTTCTGAGGCATAGAGCTCTTACGTTTGGCGACGTTACTTGCTAGTCTATCCAGCACGAGGGATCTTTCTGACCCTATCTTGCACAGGTCTTCAGCCATTTCACTCTGGTTAGTTTCCTCTTTTATGACTGAAATCAAATGACATCAGAAGGGTTAGGCACGCTTGTCCCATTTTAATGGAACTATTGTCTTCAGGTTATTGTTTCTCAGCTAATGTCTTTTAGCTTCCAACCAGCTGGAAGGAGGAGCTCACCACTGCAGACACAGGACAACTCTGATCCTTGGCAACAAAGTCCTTCACGCTGATTCATCTGCGTGCATGTTCAAGTTTCCCTCATTTAGGATGCAAAAATGAGATTGCAACTGCAAGGCATCTGCCTGTGTGCAACGTACTCACTTCACCCTTGTTCTACAGCCACTCTGCGTTTTCATGAGTAAATGAGGTCCTAACATTACACTGGACATGAAGCAGTTCACTGTTTCGTCCTCCTGCTGTTGTCCTCCACCATCCCTCTGCACCTCTCCCAGTGGAACTGCCTGTATGATCATTGTGTCTTTAGCAGGAAAAATGGACAAAAAGTTCTCAACTCCAGCAGTGGAAGATGTATTTGCAAGCTACATGTATTTGCAAACCACACCCTTTTTTTTCCCCGGTAAATATTTCTATACTTCCTTGATGCTATTTTAGATTTTAAATGGCAATTTAAGTTGCTAAAGTCAGATGTATAGTGGAACACTGATTTCCAATACTCAAACCCACTTCCCAACTTTATCCTGCTGCGGCTGAGACACTAGAATTAGAAAGTAGCTTAGCTGTGAGGGAAGGGAGTCCATTTTATTTCAGTACTTCCCTGCAGATACAGAAGGGATGTATGGAAAGGTGTTTCTGACTTGCAGCATCTGAAAGAAAGGTGATATGCAGCAAGATAGCAGCACAGCTTGTTTGGGGTTTTTTTTTTTTTGTTTTGTTTTTTTGGTTGGGCTTTTTTGGCTTTTTTTTTTTTTCCTTTTCTTATGGCAAGGGTGGTCAGAGACAGGAGAGAAAGGGGTTAATACTACTTTTACCTGCTACTAAGATATTGATATTTTTCCTGAATTTGTAAGTTGCTATTAAAGGGAGAAGTAAAAGATGATTTTTAGACTTTGATTCCGCATGCTGTTTCAATTAGGTGCACCACAGTGCTACATTTTTCCTTCTGTGCCTGCTGAGAATTTGTTTTACCACTGTATTTACTGGTTGACAGAAGCCATTACTCTGGTACTTGTGTGTTTCTCAATAGCTGAGAACATGCTGTTCCTATGCAGCGTTTATACCACTGCTACAAAAGGATGATTGTGAAAGTTTCATCGTTCCTGGGAGATGTGGAATCGTAGTCTGGTAGATAACTGGAGCAGGTGAAGTGTTCTAGCCAACAACACTCTGCAATACCAAAATGAAGAGTGCCTAACTAATTCTTGAGTCCCTGCTGCAGCAGCACATACTGCAGTGACAGTGACAAGTCACAGTGACAGAGAGTCTCATGGAATTATGCCCCAGCCCCATAAGATGCTAAAGACTGTGACCAGTGCAACATACGAGCTAAATTTAGTCATGAAGGTGCAGAAGAGTAAAGGGCATTGATGCTACTTAGTTGTCACTGAACAAACACACAACAGCATCTTTTGCTGGCTGAGGCTTCCTGATAACACTTCAGGAAGAGACTTACAAAGAATGTTCTAAAGCAGTTCGTTCAACAGGGAAACAAAAGATTGCATTTTAGTTAAAAGTTGAAATGATCACGAAATATCTGTTTAGGATGTAATATTCAATTTCTAATCAATTCCAGAGAGGGTAAGTTATGTATTCAACTTTCAAACTTTCAAAACTGCTATTAAAAAAAAAAAAAAAAGATAAATTGTATTACATACTAATTTCCAGCCTTTGCAGCTGAAACCCCCTGAAATTTACTACCAATTTGATAACTACTTTTCTGTAATTTTGTGTCTGTGAACTGAAGAAAAAAGAATTTTTTTTCCAAATGAAAATCCACAAGTGACTGAGGAATTGTAACTGACTCTTTAAACTTCATGAACTATTTTTTCTGCTGCTTTATATAGGCCTGGTAAGACTTCAGCACACTTCCATTCAACTAAAATGCAAGAATCCAAATAATAGCTCTAAGAGAAGAACTTCACACGGATTGTGAGATTCTAGTCCTCTAAAATAAGAGTTTTGCCATTAAAGTCAGCAGGCTCTTAATTTCATGTGGAATCTCCTTCTCTTAAAGAAAGCAAACAGAAGTTAAAATATAAATACAATCACTTGTTTGCCTCCTTACTCCTCTTCGCTGGATCTTTCCCTTATTATCTACTTTCTCAATGATATTTGTTAGATTTACAAGCTGATGGAAAGCTTCTATCAGTTTAGGTCTGTTTTCAGCTGATGTATCTTCTATGTACACTGGGCAAAGTATTTTAAAAATGCTGTAAAAAGCAATCCAACCATAGCAGGATGTGAAATCAGATGCCCTAGCAGATTTTTGTACCAACTTTTTTGAGTCTGGGAAAAAAAAAAAAAAACCAAGAGTCCCGAGTTATGGCTCTAATACCTCCATATCACACCCTGAAATATTATAAAAACAGGGGTAGGATAGCTACTTGCTTTTTTAGATAAAATGTAGAATGCACTAAAAGTCTTGGAAGGACACCCACTCATTCTCAATTCTTTCATTATACATTTTCATTTTTGATTTTATAAGCGAAATAATGTAAGGATGGCAAAATAGTATGTTTGCAGTGAAGAAGAACAGATTAGACTGCAAAATAGTGGGAAAAATGCAGGAGAGTTTCACTTTTTCGAAACATAAAGAATTGATATATTCTAAAGTACTAAATTTTTTTAAGAGTGAATCCTTTGGCTGGATACAAGGTCTAAACCATGATGTTAATCCCCTAATTTTATTACCAATTTGCAAAAGCACTCCTATAATATCCAATATGGATTTCTATGATACTTTCAGTACACGCAAAGAACAAGTAATTCTTCTACAGTGTTCATGCATTCCTCAAGTTTTCATCCCACTGAGATACTAGAAATTCAGTCCTAAGCTAGTGTAAACTTTCCTCTTATGATTTGCTATAAGTGAAGATCCATCTCTAAACCTGTATTATTTCCTATCCGTTTATGATTCCCAACACCAGTTTCACCTGGATATTTTTGCTTACTAAGAGTCATTCAGCTACTAGTTCTGCATGCAGGTGCTCAAATCCATGTGCTGAAAATTCAAATCCCAAGACGGAATACTTGCTTCTAAAACTTACCTCCTGTTTGAGGAATACATATTGCTGCCTACTGTATATTACATTGAGCTTTTCTGTTTATATATTCTCCAGTCCCTCAATACAATTGGAAGGGGCGCTGCTCTAACATGCTGTCTGCCAAAAGCATCTCAGCTGTGTTCACTGCTATCATTATGTGCATATACTTTACATTATTTGATAGCATGTAAAAACATATTCAGGTTCTGTCCAGATATAAAATACTAAATGAGGCGTCATTGCAAACACGTCAGAGAGAATCTTCCATTTTTGTCATTTGACAAACCACATAACATATACTGACAGGATCAAAAAGGTATGCAAGAAATGTAACTTACTGGATGGGCTTAAACTCCACAACAGAAGGTGGATCTTATGTTCGTTATCTAAAACTGCACAAGCAAGGGGATTTCGTATGGTTATTTACTGTGATCAAACTCATAGAGATCTTAGGATCTTTGTTAAAAAAAAAAATAAAAAAATAAAATCCAGATCCAAATGCCTGCTTACTCTATTTTTAAGCATAGCTTTACATTTGACATACTTCAAGAAATCAACTTTACCTTCATCATAAGACTGGTCTCTTAGAGAAGCACAACAGCTCCTCACCTCCTCCCAGTTCTCTTTTAAAGGAGGCTGGGAAGAAGGCTGCCACAAATTATGAGCCTTTCTGGACTATCTCAGTCAAACTGGCTAAATTAAATGCCTCTGGCTTCATGTCCTCTTGCTTGGAAGAGTGACATCAGACAGACGGGTCATCCTTGCTAGATGAGTTGGTCCCAATGGTCATATAAGCTCCTTTAGCTGTGCCTGGCAAGGGCAGGAGATGTTCAATGCAGAAGATTCTGCAACCCTACCTAGAACACTGATATGAAGTCTTTAATAAGAATACATCCATTCACAAGTGTACTGCGATATAGGACTCCAAGCAAGAGGGAAAGGCAGTGAGATGACATAATCATACTGTATTGAGATAGTGAACGAAATCTTTTATGTCTTGCAAGCGTTTTGCTACGTGTTTGAGTTTTACTTTGGCTTTTTGTTTGAGCTAAACAAAATGAGACAACAGCCAAATATTTATCAAATGTAGAATAAATCCAGATGCAATATCATACATATGGGATGTGGGGACGCGTGTGCACGCCTCTCCAATGCAAGAGATGCCACAAATGGTTCTGCTCTTCCTTTTGCACTCCTTCTTCTGCGTAGGTGAAAAGACAGCATTAATCCCCAAATGGACATATTTGTTACCTGAATAAAGGCTGCTTGAGATATTCATGGTTTGCAGGTAGTTATGGCATCGTTCTTTATGTTCTTCCAAAGAGCTGCGCTGCTTATAGCTGCGACCACAGTATCCACACTTATGGGGTTTGCCAACTGGAGAAAACACAGGTATTGGGAGGTTCAGATGACGTATTCAACAGCATGTTAATGATGGCAAGAACAACAGGAAAAAAGCCCACCACAAAAATAAACCCCATACTGTGGTAAACTGCAGAAAGATTTCATCAATTTAAAAAAAAAAAAAAACCTGCAAACTAGTGGAAAACGAGTTGTATATCTTTACATCATCAGGCCAGTTCTGTGGGTGCTGCAAGCTGATTTCAGGTGATCTGCATCAGATAAGGGCTGTGACATTAAATCTTCAAAACTGACATATACTTTCAAAAGTCTGAGTGCAACTGCTGTAGTGCCTAGCTCCAAAAGAGACCACCAATGGGGGAACTGGTGGTGTAGGTAGAGACATTTTGCCATGGCTGGATGTCAGCTCAGCCCTTTTGGGACAATGTTAGATTTTGCATGCTTTCTGCCTCTGGAAATTAATGAAAAACAGCATAACAATTTTTTTTCTGTATTACACCAATCCAGATGTAGCTAGCTCCAGGAATTTTGCAGTAGCAATACAGTTTCGTGGACTTCTGGACATGAATTTTCTATTTAAGCATGACAAGACTGTCCTTTAGATGTGCTTTCACAATTTTAGATGGTTACAGAACTTAGCTTTTGAATTTTACTTACAAATTTTCAGGTGAAAGTCAGACTCAGACACCCAACTTGTTCTATAATGTATTGATGTCAATTTCTCAATTGCAGGAACTAATCACAATCTATAGTATATACATTGTCTCTTTAGTTTCAGAATCTTCAGATTGCCAAAAGTGTCTAGGTGTAATTTGATGTATATGAAAAAAATTATGGTTAAAATTGTTCAGCCATGAAAGTCAGTAACAACAAGGGAGAGGGAAACAAAACAGTATTCTAAAGATGTGCTTTCCTGAACTGGGCCAGGATCAAACAGGAGAAGCGGAAATTATTTCGGACATGTGGGACCAAGACTAGGGGATTTTATTATTTAATGTGTGTGCTAGAAAAGAATTTTCTCAGTTTTGCACAACACAAAAATGTCACTTTGAAAGCTCCCCTTCTGCTACCCAGAAATTGGTCCCAAAGGCAACCTCTGCAAGTAAAGTTACCAGTGTCAGTTCAAGCAATGTGTTTTGGAGGTCTCCTATCCAAATAACAATTTTCATTTCCAGCTTAGCTTGGGAAACTAGGTGAGAAAAAACTCTGCTTTTGAAGGTACTTTAAGAGTGCTAAATTGGTTTTGCTTCACAGAAGTTATGTGACTATGGCTTCCATCAAAAAATGAGGTGTTCGTGGTAGTGGAAAAGTGCAGCTATTCAGAAATATTTATTCAGCTCTCCATATTACTGTTGAGACAATACACTGAAAAACACTAGCAGAGTCCTCTTTTTTAAATAAATGATTCCTTTTCTCTCTCCCAGCCTCTCCCTCCTCCTCACCCTTTCTCTTTCAAAGTACTTGTAATAACAAGGTGCAATGAATAACTGCTGCTGAATGCTGTAGGTGGTATTCACTCCTTAGGTCAATAATGGCTACCAGGCTGGAGGTTTCTGAGACTTTATGGCGTAAAACCTACTGTAGTTAAACCTTATTTTATCTGTATATGCATATAAATGCCATTCAAACCCTTAAACATTCATCAGCTTTAAATCATGTTTGTAGTTCTATAAAATGGATTACTCACATGAGGATTCTAAGACAAGACCCTAGTACAGAAACTTTTAATCAATCAGCCAAGAAGTATGGGAAAAAAAACATTTTTTCTGGTGAAGGGTCATGAGCACGAGATGCGTTTAGCCACTTCTTTGCTGCGAAAACACTGCAGCCAAGCTCACAGCTTGGTTAACCCCATCATGGGGCTTCGCACCTCCCCAGAGTGAGAAGACCTCTGGGGCTGGTGGCCACGAATGCTTCTGTCTCCTCAACAGGCGTGGAGACGAGAACCCCTGGCTGGTCCTACATGTTCACTTACCCGAGTGTGTCCTCAGGTGTCCCGTAAGGGCATCCCTGCGGCGGCAGGCATAGTTACACAGGTGGCACTTGAAGGGCTTTTCACCTGAGTGCAACTTGATGTGGCGCAGAAGGTTGCCCTTCTGTGTAAAGGAGGCTCCACACTGATTGCACTGGAAAGGGCGTTCTCCTACGGGGAGAAGGAGAAAATACGTGAGAACAAAAAAATCTTACGTGGCAACAAGAGAAAGATTTCAGTGAGAAAGTTGTTTTCTCACTGCTGCTCTGTGACTTCCACCGGCTGCAGGTTTGATATAACATGAGGCTTTCAGACTAAACCTGCCAGTTTCTTAATGCTTCACTGGCTGGGTCAATTTGATCTGAAAATCTAATTTTTTTTTTTTCTAAATCAGAATGGCACATCACAATGCAAATTCAAACTCATTTAAATAAAGTGACTGCAACATTTTGTGTTGAAGAGCCACTCTTCCTGATCAGCAGTTTTGGAATAAACCAATATCCAATTTTGCATGTTGTGGCATTTGGTGGGGGTTTTAATGTGGCTTTTTTCAAAGGGTCTTTAAAATATGCCACTGAAGCAGCAAAATAAAAGGGAAACTCATTAAAAATGCATTTCAGGATCACAAGTTCATTTCAGCGTTACATTCTTATATTTAAATGAAAGGCACTTCATTATAACAGTTATAATAACTTCTTTTCATTTACATTTTCCCTGTATTTTCCCTTTCAATTTCTTCTCCGTTACCTGTCTGTCCCTAAGCAGCCAAATCAGGAAAGAGACAGAGAAAGAGAGAGAGAGTAAAAGCACAGAAGACAGTGCAAAGGAAGCCCTGTACTGCCATGCCAAAGTCCCAACTCTTCTCTAGGTAATGCATGAACAGAGGAGCTGCACAAATGGTCTCTGCCGGTCTACACTTCGGATGGACACAGGGAAAAACCTGAAGAGACACAACCTTGATTTGTCTAACTGGTGCCTGTTCTCAAGGAAGCAAATCAAGCAGCCTTTGCAAAAAGTATGTGGCTGCTGTTTGCTTTTCAGTGCTGTTTAAAACAAATATGCTTATTTATTCTCTTAGCTGTTCTTTTCAATTTAAGACATATGAGGCCTTTTCTTAGTTCATTGTGAAATAAAATATGTTTCTAGTTGTACCAGAGAGGAGTAGAGGAAA